AATGAGGGGTCATGTGTGTGTGTGTCCCACGGACCTTAAAATTTCTGAAAAAAATCTTATTAAAACTTTTCAGTACATTCTTGTTCCTACTCAGGTCTTTTAAAGCTAAGAAGATCTCTCATTTCCTACTCAGTCGCCTCAAATCATGGAATCATCAACCTACGGCCTATGGGTAATACAAATGTATACAACAAAAGCGCGCAGTGACCTGCCCTCGAGCCTTGGCAGAGGACCGTGCAGACCATAAATCATGGATTGGATTTCACCTTTTCCTATCTTACGCAGCTGAAGAAAGATCAGTGATTGCTGGCAGTGAGACAGAGGGGATGTTTCTTTTGTTTAGATGTGTTTTCTAAATGATAACAGATGTTCGGTGAAGGAAGGAAACAATTGTACTTTGGCAGTTGTACCACCAGCAATGTGCAAGAACTGATCGTCGCTTAACGAGGCATATTTTACAAAAATCCAAGGTCAGAAAGCACTTCTTAGTTGTAACCGGGTATTGCACTCATCTTTCTGACTGTGCAAGAGGAAAGTCCCCTGGCTCGGTAGGAAAAAGCATAGAAAACTCTGATTATCCCCAGGGCAGCTTTCTTGGCACTGTATTAGAGCAGAGGAGTATTACTGATCAAAAGCACCACCGGTCCTACAGAGCCCCAGAGCCAAAGTCTACAAATCAAGACCCTTTTCAGCCTGTAATGCCTGCGAGGATGAACGCTGTCCCTGTGAGCTGGCCAGTTCCTGCCCTCTGGTAGCATCGCTCTGTCCTACGCAGGTACCCTGGTTCAGACCAAGAGTATATCCAGTATATATATTGGCCATAAAATGGGAATACAGAACAGTTGCCACAAGGAGACGTCTCGGGAAAAGGAGGGATGGGGCAAGTATACATGGCGGGCGCTGCTTGGCCCAGTGGTCTCCCAGCTGTTGAGGCTTTTCAGCTCTGGCAGCTTCCAGAGCCTCCTACGGTTTGTCTGCTTAGCACCTCTCAACTCATCCCTCTTTACAAGTATTCCTTCAGCCTCCTCGAATCCACAGAAACTGCAGATATCCTTTTGAAGAGGGCTCACACAGACTTCACTGAAGGGGGACTGTCCTCCTGTGGAGTACATCACATTAAGGAGATCAATACCTCGTCTATTCTAAACTCTTTTGAATGTCCCTCTTTTTTTTACCTTACCCTTGAACCTTACAATGAAGAGCAATGATCAAGCGTTGCCACAGACCTGTCTTTCCTACAGGGAGTCAGGTAGCAATAGAAGGAGCAAAACCTCAGCTTCTTTACCAAAACCATTTCTGCAGACCTACAGATCTCTCTCTTTTCCCTGTACGAGTCGTAGCCCGGGATCCCTCTGCGCAGCACATTTAAAGAAATCACCGATTTTTAAAGTGTGCATTGGTGGGCAACACATTAAATGCTCATTCCTAAAAATATTACCTAACCAGTCTTGTATAGTCTGGACTACCTGTGAGAAAAATACTTCTTATAATTTCACATTAAAAGAAATGCTAGGCCTCTCCAAATCTATTTTAGCCCGTGCATACTAACTAGATATACTAGGGCTATAAATACATTGCCATGCAAGACAAGGAAAAATAATTTAACCCTTATTTTGCACAGAATTCAATACTTGGAGGAACTAGAGGAGTTAAAAAAAAAAAAAAAAAGCAGCAGGGCTGTTTGTCACTGGTTTATGACCAGGTAAAAAGTTACATGCAACACTCAGCATCCAGTTCCTGAAGCTGGAAAGAAATTTCCATTTACATATCACAGTTCCTACTACTGGGACAAAACAGAAAGAAGCAGCGAAATGTCTGTGGAGCCTTAATTCATCACTGACTCTCGTAATCGGATAGCCTAGCTGTAAGGAATTGGAAAAGCAGCTGGAAGAACAAAAGGCTTGGAGCTGCTGTCAGGCAACTAGCAAGTTCTAGCAGAAGTTGGTTACAACTCAGTCATCTACACACCTCTCAACAAACACACGACCAAACACACACAACGCTTGCTGGCAAATTCTCAGAAGGGTTTAGGAGCCTAAACATCATTGTAGAGGGAATAAAGCACACAGGATTTTAAAAATCCATAGGCTCCTCCATACGCTTTTATAGTTCTTGGCTTTGCAAGGGCTGCAAGTTGTTCTCGACTCCTGCTTATTACAACTGAAATAATAAAAATACCCCACCCTTTCTCTCCCAGGAAAGTCCAGAATGATTACATTGGTTGTAACTCAACAGGCATGAAAAACAGATCCATTTTAGTTCATCTCTGGAACTGAAGTTCATATAAATGTTATTCAAGATGCTTCTAACAGAGGCACGGAAATGAAAATCAAGTAGCAATAAACAATTCTCCTGTAAAATTTTTTTCCACCATTTCTCTCTCAAGAATAAGCATGCATTCCTATTTTGTAGATAAAGCAAAATAAGCATTAGAGCATTTCCATTCAAAAGGAAAAAGATAAACAACTTAACCATTTATTTGACTGCATTGTATTTAGACAGCTTGTACATTTCATAACCCCACTGTTTTTGTTCTCATCAAAAAGGATAAAGGGACAGAAGAATATAATCCACTCAAAACAGCAGTCCAGTATTTTGAGATACACTTGATATTTTCAGAGATGCCCACCTGATACCTGAACTCCAACATAGGTTGTAATGTTTATACAAGACCTGAAATTTTTTTAACGTAGCACTCAGTTTTAGCAATGTCTTGCAGCGCCCTGAAAAATAGTTTGTGACGTACTATGCAAGGCCAATTAGATTATGCCTACTTTTCTTGAAGGTGATGAACACGACCATTTCTTAAAAAACAATATAATGCAAACATCCATACCGACATGTCAGTCAACAGCAACATCTGGGCAAATTTAAACATAAATGTGATCAACTCCTTCGTTAGATTTGTCAATGCAAAAGGTTGGGGGGGAGGACTCTGTTTTAGCAACAGACATGAGAAATAACTAACTTTTCATTGCTAGATTTCTTTTGAAAACCTATTTTCACCTCTTTGCATATTTGGAACTTCCCACTTGATACCCGAATCCCAAGCAACACAGAGAACAAATCTGTTTAATACAAACCAACACATAACGCTTCAGCATCTTCCATAGCGAACTGCGTGTTACACAGCAGCAGTATCAGAACCTTCCAGTTCGCTCTTTTAAATGAAACGTGCACCTATTTTGCCCAGTATTTTCAAAATGTGCATGGCGACAATTACTTCTTACAATAAACAAACGGAATTGTATTTGAAGTTTGCTCAGAAGCCATGTTTCTGGCAGCCCCTTCGTGAAAAGTGATTTGGGCTAAGTTCTAAGTCGGCTTTTGAATCTAAAGACACCCACAGCTTAAATATTAACCTGTGGAAAACTTGCCTGTCTGGCTTTTCAGTTTTTAAACATCAGCAGACACACAAGATAGCCTGGTTTGCAGTTTGTGACACAAGTCCGACAGCAGTTAACAAGGTACAAAACCTCCCTGATCTCTCTCCTTACTTCAAGCCAGAGCAGTCACTACGTCCTGGACCCCCGGAATGTGGGTGAGAGAAATCTGTTTCCATTGAATTATCAATGTTTAAGTCTTAACTAGGAATGAAACTTCCTGAAAAGCTGCCCAGAAAAACTGGCAAACCTGAGGGACTGGGATAACGTGAACAAAAGCGGCAACATACAGGCTTTATGCTGAACTCCACCACGTTCTGTGAATAACAGACTCCAGCCCCATTTTAAACATGAGTTTTCTGAGGGGAACAAAACTCCTCAAAAGCACAAATGGTGTCTACAAGCAGAAAACTCAGAAGGGCCAATTTGCATTAAAAATCTTTATTTTCAAATACAACTTATAATTTTTACATGGTAAGAAATGTCCATCACCATGTGTGACTGGTCTGTGCAAAACAAGGCTTTCCTTTAAATCCAGTTTTCCTGCACAGGGCTCTTTTCCAAATGTTACTGGAGGTAGGGGTTTTGTTTTAAATGTACAGTAATTAGCAAAAAAAACCCCATGACTCAAACCAAACCCTTAAAAAAAAAAAAGTGTAGTAAGGCAAGTCTGAAGATACGCTCAACTACAGAAGAGCAAATTCACCTAGTTCATCCTTTTAATAGATTACATAGGTTCTTCCACAAGTCAACTAGTATCATGTTTTGTTTTGGGTTTTTTTTTCCCCAAAGTGAAAAAACCCCAACTGATTCATAGAACTGGGCTACATAATCACACTGAACAAGAAAGCTGTCCTGGTTTTGGCTGGGATAGAGTTAACTCTCTTCCTAGCAGCAGGTATAGTGCTGTGGTTTGGATATAGGATGAGAATAATGTTGATAACACACTGATGTTTTTAGCTGTTGCCAAGCAGTCAAGGACTTTTCAGCTTCTCAACTGCCCCGCCAACAAGAAGGCGGGGGGCATCCAAGAAGCTGGGAGGGGACACGGCCAGGACAGCTGACCCAAACTGGCCAAAGGGATATTCCACACCATATGATGTCATGTTCCGCTGATAACTGGGGGGTTGGCCGGGAGGTGGCACGGCTCAGGACGAAGCTGAGCATCAGCTTTGGGTGGTGAGCAACTGTGCTGTGCATCACTTGTTTTGTATATCCTTTTATTATTATTATTCTCTTCCTTTTCTGGCCATTAAACTGTCTTTATCTCAACCCGTGAGTTTTATCTTTTTTCTTTTTGATTCTCTCCCCCATCCCACTGGAGGGGGATTGAGCAAATGGCTGTGTGGTTGTTTTAGCTGCCTGCTGGGTTAAACCACGACAAAGCCTAGACACTGTAATTACTGAAAAAATTGATGGGTATCGGTAAAACCTATGTAAGCCCAATTAAAGAAAGGAGAAAAAAAAAAAAAAGAGAAAAACAGAGCAAGAGCAAATGTGAGAAAGAGAGAAGTCCTTCCCCTCTGCTTTGATTTTAGAGGGGAAAAAATCCCCCAATAATTTAGCTCATGTAAGTTTAGAGAAAATGAGAGCAGCTAAAAATGCATACAATACACCTTGAAATTTATTTCCAAGACCAAGAACCAAAGATTGAAGCATTTTAGAACACTGAAGCAAAGCAATCTGAATCTGAAGAAAAAAAAATTTCCAACTATCTTAAAATAGCTGTTTTTCAGAGCTTCTAGCAATAATTTTGATTAAATAAAATCATACCAATTTACATTAATTTTCTATATCTTCTTTTTAAAGTCCCTCACTCTTTTTAACGAAAAAAGTGCATCCAAAACCAGCAGCGATTTACTGGTGACATCTTTCAGCAGCTACTCAAGGTTTTCAAAATAGCTTACACTTCTTGCTATTAAGAAAAGAAGGGCCTTCCAAACCCTTGTTTGGGAGAAGTATCCAAATTATAAAAATCTGAAATAATTTATTATCAAATCCCGAATTTAAATAAAAGCAGAAATTTTCTTGCAAAGACAATTGAAGAAAGTAAAAGAATAAAAGCATGCACTCCAAACTTAGAGGTGAAGACAAATATACTTATCTATACAGGCACTGGCAGACGCAATTTAATTGTTACTGTTACTCATTGTAACACACACCCCACCCTACAATACATTTTTTCATTCACTAATCACTGAGGTACCAATATTTAAGAATGGAAAATTCAATATTGAAAAATAAAACCTAAAATTGAAGCCTTTTTCCAGAAAACTATGGCAATTTTTGTATGAAATGTTAGTATACTTATAGAATTTTACAATCTACATTGGCTTTTTTCTGGAACCAAAAGTCGCGTTCCACATACAGGTTCTTTGATAAAATGTTCACTGTGTATGTAATACAGTCAGTAGACTTGCAAATGAATGAACATATCTTGGCTATCAACTGGCACATCTTGCTGGTACCAAAAGAACTTGAAGTTTGAAACAATCGGTTTTAATTCTGAACAAATGCGCCATGCCAAAGTGCAACAAATATGTGCGACACTCAATGAGACACTGACAGATTAAGAGCTGCTTGGAAATTATAAGTCCACCTGCAAAGCAATTTTGTACAAATTGCATTGCATGCAAAGGACAACTCTGCGCTGTTGGGACGTCAGTTGCTTGATGTGATGGTTTCTTTTAACGCAGCCATAGTTTAAGACGCAGTGCATCAACTCCATTTAAATAGTATCTGAACAGCCTCTTGTCTCGCACAAAACCAAGGTTTTCATAAAGTTTCAAAGCGGACTTATTCGTGATTTCTGTTTCCAATACAACCTTCAAGGAAAGAAAAGAAAAAAATCATATCATATTAGAAAGCAGTTGCAAATACATGACAATTTCAAAGTTTTTATTTAAAGGTACACTTATTAGCAATGAGTGGAATTAATTTTTTTCTTGTCATGATGTATTTGAGCAACGCCCCTCCATTCCCACATTAAAAAAAAAAGCAACAATCTAGCAGTTGATCAACAATTGTCATTGTAAGCAAGTTTCATTCATATCAACATTTTAATTCTTTGCTGTAAATAGTATTTCAATGCATTACCTAAAGCTATGGTAAAAAAAACCAAACAAACAAACAAACAAAAAACAATCCCCACCTCCAAACACCCTCCCCCCAGAAAAAACCAAAACAAAAAACCCAACTTACCAAACAGGTCAGGGTCGAAAACATACTTTAATTTTGAATGATCAACTGAACTTTTAAATGTCAGAAGTTGGCACATGAGGTTTTGTTTAGTCATTTAATATCATTGACATCTAATTCGATAGGTTTAGACCTAGAAAAAAGCTTCAGCAATCTACAACTAGCTGTCAGACTCAATGTTTGCAATGAATATTTGTGCACAACGCAAGTATCCCAAACTCAAACCAAAGTGCACACCAGGAAGAATGAACAGGTTTTTCCATCGTTTTGCCCCTGTGTTGGTAAGATCCCAGCTGCAGGAAGACCTGTCATAAATAGCTCAGACCAAACCCAATTGTAAATGAAGTACAAATTAAGACTCAAAATCATAGACTTATAGAATGGTTTGGGTTGGAAGGGACCTTAAAGCCCATCCAGTTCCAACCCCCCTGCCATGGGCAGGGACACCCTCCACTAGACCAGGTTGCCCAAAGCCCCATCCAACCTGGCCTTGAACACTGCCAGGGAGCCAGGGGCAGCCGCAGCTTCTCTGGGCAACCTGTGCCAGGGCCTCAGCACCCTCACAGGGAAGAATTCCTTCCTTATATCTAATCTCAATCTCCTCTCTTTCAGTTTAATGCCATTCCCCCTTGTCCTGTCACTCCCTGCCCTTGTCACCAGTCCCTCTCCAGCTTTCTTGGAGCCCGTTTAGGGACTGGAAGGGGCTCTAAGGTCTCCCCAGAGCCTTCTCTTCTCCAGGCTGAACAACCCCAACTCTCTCAGCCTGTCTTCATAGGAGAGGTGCTCCAGCCCTTGGACCATCTTCGTAGTCTCCTCTGGATTAGCTCCAACAGCTCCATGTCCTTCTTGTCCTGGGGACCCCAGAGCTGGATGCAGTTCGCCAGGTGGGGTCTCAGAAGAGCAGAGTAGAGGGGAGAGTCTCCTCCCCTGACCTGCTGGTCACGCTGCTTTTGATGCAGCCCAGGATACGGCTGGCTTTCTGGGCTGCAAGCACACACCGCCAGCTCATGTTGAGCTTCCCATCTCATCCTTTCTCTTCCCATCAAAATTATTCCAGAAGTTTCAAGTACAGGCAACAAACTACACTGGCGTTAACAAGAAGTTAAATACAAAACTTCAGAAAGTATGTCCCTCTGAATTGTTTTCCCCTCTTTTCTCCAAATGTACTGAGCAGAGCTCAACCATAACTGGCAAGCTGTGCACCCACTCCAAATGATAAAAACTTGTTTTGCCTCTTTACTGTTGTCCAACTCAATTATTTAAGGATTCTGCTATTAAGGACAGATCATGGTTGCGCAAGAACACAGGCTGAATAAGCTGACTAGACTACATACAGTCCCATGACAATGTACATTTACACGTTAAACAAGAGCTGTAGAAAGACCATATAATGAAAACACAGCCTAAGCAATTTCTGCAGCAAAACAGTGATCACTGCTGGTGTTAAATCCACTAACAGCTATTTCTAACCCAGCATTTCATACCCACTCTGTGTAGTTAGAACTGTATACATAAAACTCAGTCCAAAAAAGTCATCTATCCCAGCTCAAAACCCAGGACTCCCTTCTCCTCCAATAAAAAGCAAAATAATTGGTTAACATCCCTCCACTCCCCTAAAACCAGGAACAAAATATTAGCCTATACTTGTAGAGCAGTTTAAGTTAATGTATTTTACGGACTCTGTGGCTGCACTGCCTTCAGACTTGCATTTCCATTCTCCCTCACCTCTTCCACCAGCTCACCAGACTTGTTGCTGAGCTACTTCAAAAAGCAACCTGGTAGAAAACCTTTCCTTTTTCTTTCCATCAGGTTTGTTTTCTGCAGTCTGAGTCGTGGCTAAGCCAATATTAAAAAAGGGAGGCAGCCAGCAGTTGCACTGGTCACCTTCAAAAAGATTTTAAGATCCATTAAACGTATATATTTGACCATCACTCAAGTTTCAAGCTACTCTGAACACACTCCAATGGATAATTCCCCCTACGTGTCTCAACATAAGAACGTTTGAAAGAATAGTAACTCTGAAGCTAATAACTCAATGAACAACATACACTGGGGGGAAAAAAAAGACCTAGAAGTAATTCATTTTCCAAAAAAGAACCAAGTCACACATTAAAATATTAATAGTCAGAGTTCTTAAATTACAGCAGGACAGTCTGTTGTACCTTCACTCTTAAGACAAGCTAATTCAATTCTTAGTCTTATGGCAAGAATTAGATATTGAATTTCTCTTGCTGGCACTTCATAGAATATTACTATCAAGTCTTGTGACTTGATCAATTATTCTTAACATCCTTAATCCATTAAAATGGCTATCTATTAATTTGTAACAAATTATGGAAGCACAATAGTTTTCCTGAGGAATGCTATTTTCTACACAATTATGCGCATTGTACAACTTCTTAATTCAAAATAAAACAAAGCATTACGCCAAAGAGGAAATCTGACCCATGTAAATCCACAGCGCAGGAGACAATTATTTGAACTCTAGCTGCAAACAGCATTCACTCTCATCAAAGTTTAGTAACCTGGCCGAGTGATATAACGCATCTGTATTAAACTGCAAGCTCACACACCTTGCAATGCTAAAAGACTTCCAACACTGCAGATCACTGAATTTAAGGGAGTGGTTAAATGTTGAAATTCAGGTTTGTTGGAATCCCACTACCTGAGTGAATGCTCATCTTGAAAGCAAATGCAAGAGATTTGCTCTGGTATTTCTAAGGAAGACTCAGCACAATGAAAACTAATTCCCTGATCTCAACATACTGCGTTGATCTCAAAGGGCTAAAGACGTGTTTCTATTATCTAAAAAAGAAACACAGCCATGTTTCATCCAAATTTCACTAGCTTTGTTTTGTGAAGGATTCACCTCTTCTTGTACGAGATTTTCAATCAAGCCCCAAATCTTCAATCATTACATTTATTTCTGGTCTCATAGGGTCTATTGTGTTGTAGACATATGCCTGTTAAATCCTCTAATAACACAATCACATCCTCCCCTGGAGACCAGCAAAGGTCTGACTGGATTTAACAGCATTTTCTGCACAAGTTGCAACTTTCTGAAGGCTGTTACTTTCTCTTCTGTCTTAAATTTCATAAGCCTAACATTTTATCTCAACTGTCTCATTTTTAACTGGATTTAGAAGTAAGAAATTTTCTATAGTTAGAGCGGAGTGCAATGTTTCTTGTTATTACGTTTTCATACCTAGAATTTATTCCTAAACAAGAAAAATGGAGAGGTCAAGCTTTGAATGAATCAGGTCAAACGCTGAATGAACTCAAGTTTAGAAACAAAGTCATAGAATGAATACAGCCAAATCAAATAAGCAAATGAACAAAGTACTGTCTTAGGACTCACAGAAGAGGTTGCTATTCTTGCTTATAAGTCTGACATATCATCAGACTCAAGTTCTGAGTGCTTGTCCAGTGTTCTTAATCAGTTTAACTGCCTTAACTTTTCAGGAAAGGTAGCACGCAAAATAAAACAATACCTTAGATGATGTGTAGATTAAGAAAAAGCTAAGATGTTAATAGTTTGATATTTTTAAATAGGATTATATAAAAATATACATTTAATTTTTACAAGTGTGGTACTGAATTAAAGTGACACGCCTACCAGTGTGGTGAAAAAACCTCACTTTAAATAACTCTAAAGTTTTGATGGAAATTCCCATGGGAAGTTGCAATTCCTTTTCACATTCTACATTTTGCTTAAAAAAAAAAAAAAAAACCTCAAAGTCCCACCTATCAGAGTCTTACTTTGATGAGTTAACAGTTACATGGTACATTATTTCCGTAATACAAAGTGAATGATTCATATGCAGATCACTTACAGTCATTTGTTACAGATGGAAAAACCTATGTATGAATGAACAACTCCTCCTTTCTATTGTGATTAAGGGATGTAACCAGTTCCACCATGAAGGTCCTAAGCAGTACAATTTTTGAAAATTGCTTGTCAGTACAAACTAAGCAAATATACAAAAAGCAGCCAGATGCTTAACTTGCTGAAGTTAGCACATACTTTCCTTTTTACACTGGAAGAATAATACCTTCAAAATTTTGGAGATGAGAGAAAACTATTCACCTTCACCTGATTTATTTCCATAGTTCACATTTTCTATGCAACCAGCCCATAAACTTATTCTAAATCATTGTGACCTGTTGGAAACTTGGGCCATTATAATCTTGAAAACCTTCAGTTCACTACCCCAAATATCAGAATTCATTAACATCAAATGCTTAAGAATGTCACCAAGGTAAAAAAAAACAAAACCAAAAACCACAAACAAAGCAAAGATCCCTCAAGTTTTGTAGTGTTATATCCAGACACTCAAGCTCAAAGCATGCTGTTGACTACTTTCTTCAGGCTTGAAGGTTATTTCTACCTCAACCACTCACCCCAACATCAGATCACTTCCCTCGGTTCTATTCTAATGTGGGCCATGGCCAGCCCTGTGGCCATCTCCTCCCCTCCACACAGATTCCATCCCAGCCAATTCACTTCTTCACTTACTCACCCCACAGCTTCTTCAAGCCAGGAAACAACCCCGGCTGGCAGGATATTGCCTCGCAACTTTGAAGCACAGCATATAGCATAAACTACCTCTTAGGCAGTTGGCTGACCACAGAAGCTTGCACTGTAAATCACTTGTTGCATAGGCCTGGCTTAGTTTATTCCCACTAAATTAGCTTACAGGAAAAAAAAAAAAAAATAGTCCTTAATCACTAAAATATTGTGGCATACTTTGAAATGCCAGAACATAAGTAGTGATTTTTCAAGGTTTTCATCTATGGTGGTGTATAAATCCTTTATTTTTCAGGACTCAAAAGTCCAATCTATGGTACTTTGAGAAGTAATACACTGAACAAAGCATTTATCAGATTATATGTCACAAGTTATTACAATTAAGTACATTTACTGCATCTATTCCACAATTAGATTGAAGGGAAGAGTTTCCAAGCAGCCTTCAGAAATTTTTGATGACACCCACAGCTGCATATTCCTGTTCTTAATCCTATTCCAAACAAGTTTCAGAAAACAGTATATTTTTGCATTGCAGTTCATCTTGTATCAAGTAGCAGCATCTTTTAATTTTCATTATGCTTCTGATTTTATTAAGGGATGTAGAAAAATACCTTAAGAGTAGCAGAGATGATTAAATTATTTACACACCTCACGAAGACAAATTACTGTGATGCATTAATTCATGTTTGATCAGCTATAGGCATTAATCAGCCAGCCAGAAACTGTTCCCCCAACAACTGCTGTAAAAACTGGCAAGGGCAAGTGTCTTGGCTCTGTCGGACCGAGCTTTTCATGGGTGGCTAGTTGGATTTTTCAGATTCTGGTCATGACTGAGAACTCTGCAATCCACAGTGCAGTACAGGTAAACAACATCACTGTTTTGTACCATATATATCTGGAAGAAACCTACACTTGGTGGCAAAGAAAAGAAGAAAACATTGGCTATTTGGCTGTAGATAATCCGTACGTGAAAAAGAACATAAATGAATTAAATCAGCGTGGGTATGCCTCTGCTGACCAGTGTAGAAAGTCAGATGTATACTCTACTTGTGCTCCATGTTGCCCAGGCATAATAAGCTCCTGTTTCAAAATTCTGTGCTAGCACAAGACTCAGCTGATACAAGAGTCCCCAAGAAGCAGGGCATAATTAGTTCAGAATCATATACGGTTACACAGTTTCCAAACTGGAACTGAAACATGCCTGCACCCATCCAGCACACACTTCAAGGAGTTTGAATTGTAGTGTCGTCAATTAAAGAGGGACAGCAATAGTCTCTGAAAAAAGCCCTATGCACTTAGTACAAAGCATTTAAGCAGCACCATAGATGAAAACCTGTGACTAAGACCTAATGAAGTCTCACTGCAGACTAGTCTGCAATCCTTATCACATTTATTTCATTTTTACAAATATAAAAAAACCAGTAAGAAGGACTCTCAGTATTATATTACAGTGGTAGAAAAAAAAGACAGACACAGGAGAGATCATTATGCATACACCTGTTAGATAGTCCAATTTAGAAATGAAATTACGTGAGGAGTAGTACACATACATTCATAAATCATATGATAATTACTGCAACTCTGATCGCTTGAGTAGAAATATCCAGTTCTACTACTGACTAACTACAGTAGGCAACTCACTTCACTACTCCGCATCTCAATTCTCCAACTGTGATGTGAACGGTGTGATATCATTCCTCAATTATTATTTTTTTTTAATCTTGAATACTCTAGCAAAGGCAAAAGAATTCAAGACCGTAGTGGAAAGCAATAGAAAAAAACCCAAACAAATAAAACCTTTTCTTGATTAGTTCAATGTAGCAAGTAGTAAAAGAGATTAGAGCAAAGCCTATTATATATGACAACAGAAGCAACAAGCCAAAACAAACTTAAAGAATTACAGAACTATCAGGTTGCACTACACTGCCCGAGTACAAAAGAAATTATAGAGAAAAAAAAAAGATACGAGTAAGCAGAGACATGAAGGAATCTGAAGGGAAGAATAAATATCTCAAACAATGAAGTCAGAACACATGCAAGAGGCATCAAACAAGTAGAAAGAAAAATAATCAGAGTATGTGCCAGAAGTCCTGTGACAACAATTGTAGTTTTGCATAAACTTTACCACACCACAGTAGGACAATTGAGGGAGCAGTTTAAACGAGGTAACATAGAGATCAAAGGATCATTAACTCTGACACACTGAAATGACACAGTGCTCACATATCAGGAACAAGCTAACGATTGCATTGTACCAAGGAGATGAAAGTTAAAGGGACAGATAACCAGATTAAGGAGGATGGATGCAGGAAGAGTTCCTCACAAGTTAAACATGGCATATAAAGGCAGTTAGTTGCTTTATATATTTTAAATATATATAAAAAGAGTAGGGACTGTAATCTGGTAAATGGAAAGACTAGAAACATACAGGCCAGAGAAAGTCTGACAGTGATTCAGTCACTTTCCTTCCAAGTTTTCGCTGACATACTAAATCATGAGAGTTCTGTTAGTGCTATACAATACAGCTACGCACTGTCAGAATAGCCTGACGCAGTCTGCAAGACCGTGGCACATACTGTTCCAGTATCTTCCTGCATTCTGAAAGCGTGGAAGTATCACACACCACGTGCAAGTTACACTGGTCAGTAGCACCTTGAACTAGAGCCTTTGGAGGAAAATGTGCCTGCGACTGAAGGCTGGGGCAGCTTTGCCAAGTAAAACAAAACCTGAAACACTGAAATGAAGTACTTACAATAAATTTAGAAAATCCTTCTCTTATTTGTGCCATACAGTTTTCTGAGGTTATTTTTCCTCTTATTATAAAAGGAATAGCTTCTTACCAACCCACTCCCCGCCTAAAAAAAAAGTCCTGTAGAAGAAAAACCTGTGAAATTAATCCACAATAGGAGAATGCAAGCCAGTTACATTATGAAAGTTTTTTATTATAAAATCTTACCTCATCACAATCTCCTTCAACCATAGCATAAATAGCTTTCTTAACCAAGTTTGTACCTGAAATATAGATTTCAGTAAGTGTCAAAGTTGCAATGCAAAAGATGCTAGCTTATATATGACTAATGTGTGCTACCTACATGACATGACACCTGGGGAAAGCAGGGAGGAAAGAAAAGAAAGAAACAAGAAGATGCAGTCAAGTTGCAGTCTCAAGTTTGAACAATAAAATAATCTGTAAAGTTGTCCAGAGACTCAGCTTGAGCGCAAGATTCTTCTAATATAAGGATATTAGAAACAGGCTTCTATGTTTAACATAGTGTTATATATAGCCTTCCAAGATGTGATTCATTCCTTTTTCTTGCATTTAAAGTCAAAATCTGCTGGCATGTACTTGAAGGACATTCATCTTCCAAGGGAATTTCCTCTTACTAAAACAAATACTTCCATTAGTAACAGAACTTATGAAACCACTCTGCTTGTGGCTTACTCCCATTTGGATTTGCTAGTATCTAATATGGTTGAAGCCCATCCCTTCCCCTTCAGTCAAGCATTAATTTAATTCTTTATCATTATTTTTCATCTATTTCACAACAGTTCTACAAATGTAATATCCCTACCTGTCTGTAGAATTGGGGTGAAATTGAAAGTTGATTTCAAAGTTATTAGTGGAAAAAACTGCTGTTCAATGAAATTGCATAAATCTCACTTCCATAAGAAGGCTAAGGAAAAGGAAAAAAAACCCCAAGGAATCTAGAGAATGTTTTAAAGTAGTCTCAAAACTTTAATAAATTAAGATTTTCATTGAACATATGACAAAACTGTACTACATATAAAACAAACCTTCAGATTAACAGTGCACTTTGAGAAACAGCAAGGTGGCAAATGTAGGAAAAAGTCAACATACATAATGCTAAAGTAAGCAAGGCTTTAAATATAAATTCTATTTATATAATTCTAAAATAATGAACTGACTAAAGCGAGGGGAAAATATTGCAGAGATCTTCATAATAACAGCATTAGTTCTTATTTACTTATGAATCCAAGCACCTGCAATTAAATTATAGCAGGCTCCTTCATGACTCAGCTAAAAGGAAAGGAGAGACAATGATTGCTCAGTATCCTCTTCCCTCTGCTCCACTATAGAAACCAACAATGGCTTTTGACTTGCACGGGGCGGGGGGGAATCTGTACATGCTTGAATAGTCATGATAATACACAGTGCTTCAAGTTTTTTGGAGGGTTTGGTTGTGGTTTTTTTCTGAAGAGGAGAACAAACACAATAGTATATTTTTCCATTGCAAGTAATTTTCTGTCTTTAATCACAAAAGTATGAGCTCTTCAGTGTGAATCAGCAGTGAAGCACATTTTAGATTTTAAAGATCTACGTTCTAAGTTAAAAAATGTTACAAAATCTAATTTCACAATAACCAACACCAAAAATATTAAGTTCCATAAGAACAGATCTTTAATTAAGCCAACTGGAATAATTAGTGTTAGAATGAAAATCCTTGCATCAGGGCAAAACTGATTAATGAGGGAGGGCAAACGCCCTGTCAAGAGTGATTTCTTTTATCATGTAACATCCCAACAAAACAGATCTCCATTTCAGTCATTCAAGTAGCAATACACAACTATTTTTCTTCACTTATTAATACAACAATGAACTATATACATTCTCCCCAACGGGCAATATATGCATAATTGATACAGGAAAGCCAGGGGATAAGTTCACTGAAAGAAGATAGACTGCACACAACATAGAAATACAGCGATGAGGGTACATATAAAAAGGCAAAGCAATTCCCACCGTTGTTACAGGCAGAGGTAAGGGGCTGCTGCCTGCCTTTCTTTTTAGCTTTATTGTATCCCAGATGTAAATCTCATAGGGCCATCAGGTTATTTTAACAAAATAAAAAAAGCCACTGGGGAGCTCGTGTGGTTGAGTAAGGCAGGAATGACAGACAAATCACCACATCTAAAAGTTCAGTTCTGCTTAAATCTTTGACAGCTACAGTTATCCCAACTACAGGATTTAAGTAAGAAATAACAAAAAAGGCTATTCTTACCAATTCCTTTTCTTCTGTATTTGGAATCCACTGCTAACATGGCTATATAACCTCTGCGGAACATCTTTTTGTGCATATCCAGCTTGCAGACGATGGCACCTACACACTCCTCACCTACCATGGCCTTAAAGACAAACATACACGTATGCATTCTCAGTTTGTGATCTACAGTGCTACCAAAAGTAGTAAACCAGTTCATTAAGTGAAAACAGCCACACAAAATTTGTTTGCATAAAGCTATAAAAAAACCAAACCCAAACCTAGGTAAATTTTAAAAACATGTCCAAAAATGTAAATAAGATTAAAGGACTCATTTCTTTATTACATTCAAATAAAGTTACAGTCAATTAACAACCAATAGATTGTCCTGGAGAGAATCACAGTATTATTCCATGAAGTCTATAGGCAAGAAGGTGTGTGATAGAAAAGCAGGGAGAAAGAAAGAAAAGTGGTAATATTAAAAAAAAAAAAAAAAAAAGAAAAGACCAGGTTAAAGAATAAATCACCCTTTCACATGGGCTGCCACAGAGGAAAAAAAGTCTATTCCTGTTTTATAGTGATCTGAATTTTCATGTACAAGGGTTGTGGTAGATAACATGCTTAATTTTTGTCTGGTTTTAATGGCAAGACCACAATGGATCAGAGAAAAATGTTGCTGTGTTTAATCTTTAGAAACTGTCATTTTCAGTCATGTGACACCCAAAGAACAAACAAAAAACCACACAGTTAATTTTATACATTTTAACTGTTCAGAGATTTCATTTGTTAAGAGCTGTGCACTGACAGTTAATCCCAACATCACTGTCACAAAAAGTGTGATCAAGGAGATGTAGTTATTCTGAAATATTAAGAAAAAAACCCCAAAAGAAAAGAATCCAACTCCTCCCCATACACTTATCAAACCACTTGCACAACCACTGCGTTCACCAGAATTTTACCATGAAATATATTAGAGTGTAGGAAATCTAAATCATATGTTAACTGAAGGATTAGGCAGCATGAGAGATTAATGACATTATAACCTGCAGCAGTAAAACTGAATAATGCTGCAGAGTAGGATAGCATCCAAGGGGAGAAGGAACTACTATTCATTCAGGAAAGACTGACGGACATGAAAAGGAAACTCGTATTTGTATGTATGGGAGTATAATAAGTGCATTCACAGACTCTGATAGACTTGTATCTCAGGGGGGGAACCAGCCTTCAGCTCAAGTGTAGCAACTAAACTGGGACTACAGCACATGCTTGGCACAAGCGCTTCTGGATAATCCAAATTTACAACAGTAAGATGCGTCAAATGGACTTGCCAAAGCCAGTACTGCCAGGTCTCAGTGCAGCCCACCTGTGAACCTAGTGTTCACCTCTCCAAAGTCTATGTACATATTTCTATAGTCTCCAATCACCTGAACCTTTTTGTATACAGCTTGTAGACTAAGACTCTACAGACAGAAGATTCATTCACGTAGATCGTACTGCAGGCACAGACCCACAGGTTTTTCGCCCCAAGAAGAATAATGTCTCCTAGCTTCTCTACCTGGATGGTGGGCTATTAACCAAGTTAGCTGTCGACCAGGAGCTCTATCAAAGGTGAAATGAAGCAGCCCAAAACCTATGAGCTGCAGTTCCAAAGCTCCATGATGCAGCTTGATCATAACATCATTTCTAGTACAGTTTAAGCTCACCAGGCAAATATAATTATTGCTAAGTTTTTATTTGGCAGGAAAACACATTTTTTAGTAGTATTCAAGAACAACCCTGAACAATCTAAACAAGTGGGTTTTAAAACAAAAAGTGTAGTATGATCTTAAAGGACTGAAATACACAGCCTCTAAGCAGTCTTTCATTTGTTCTAAAACACAGTTTATTCCACAAAAAAGCTGTACTCATACTAAAAATGTGTATGCAAAGTGGCAGCTCAAGGCAAGTTTTTTATCTCAGCTCAGACCTGAGAAAACCAGGGAGTTAAATAAAGAGTATCATCAGACAGACTGTTCATAACATTGCTATAATTACACAGAGTACCTAGATGTAATCTTATACCCCACTAAAAAAAAAAAAAAAAAAAAATCACACCGCAAACAAGCATGTTATAGTTATGCTTTGCCCTGAAGTGAACACGTGCAAATTGTTGATCGTAACAGTCATGCGGAGAATTTTTAAGATATATTTTTTACACACTTCAAGAGTAGTGACATTCTAGACATTGCATATCTGTGTTCTTTCTTGTTTAGGACACTTTTCAGAAAAAGCTATGTTCATGAATCATATATTTAAAATGCTAAATGAACAGCAAAGAAGTTTGTTTCTGTGATTAAAGAAGCAAATACCCACTGGTTTTACCACTGTTGCCAGAGAGCTGAATAAAGCATGACTTTGTTACTAGCTCCCCAAACACACACCTATTTCTCTGTCTTTAGGCAGGTAAGTCTGGCAATTTATCTATAGTTGTTCCACTTACAGAGGGAGTGCTGCATTATCTCCACCTCAATTTGAGGGGGTTCTGTGGCCTTTTGTCTCCTTTCTCCTTCTTTCCCACCCTATCTAAACCTGGAAATGAACCTGGAGAACTTGGAGAAGGTTAAACTGCATAAATAAAAACCACTAGACTGAACTAGGGAGGAGAGTGGAGAGCAGAGACAAAAAGTAGTTCCTACACAACACCATTTATGAAAAAACAACCATGGGCCAAATTTTCTTTTCAGGTATATGACAGTACTTCTAAACATACAAGTTTCTACAAACAGAATTCAGCCCAAGTTACTATTATATACTATAAACCCCACAGAGTACTATAAGATTTACTTCAATCGTAAAGTCATTAGCAGGATTAGCACACATGAATTCAAATCCAATATTTGCATCAACTTTGTTCCTATGTATAGATTCAAATGTTTAAAATGTTCCGTATCTTTGTATTGCAACCATGTATTACTAGAAGAGTTAGCACAGAAATGTCTGTAAATCAGCAAGGATGTTACTTTTCACAAATTTAAACAATTGGCATTCATTTCATTAGCAAAGACAGCATTAAGTCTGTCAGCCACAGTCTGAGCATGCATTTCATACCCAGATGCTGTGACATTTGTTGCCATTTATAGCAAACTAAAACAACCAACTAGCCCCTGAAAGAGAAGTATTTTGCGATTCAAATGCAGTAGAACCTGCGCTACTGCAATACAGTTTCCCTTTCGCATATGTGCCAAAATCCATCCCAAAGCATCACAGGAACGGCTCTGCATGAATCCTTTGGCTTACATATAGCGATCATGTTACTGAATGCCATTAGAACATACATTTAGGCTAATGGTTTTAACCTAAAGTCTGGCAGTCTTTACGATACTGGGCAAATCACTAAGTCACTCTGTTCCCACCCTATGAAACTGGACACGGGTAATTCCCTCCTGTGCAAGGGCATTGCCAGAGTAACTACACTAGCTGTTCTTACGTACTCAGATGCTGCAATGACTGAAGTTTTCACAAAGCCTGACAGTGAGAAGTACCATGGCAAGCCTGTACCTAAACCCACGATCATTCCTAAAAGAAAACTGCAATACAGAGAGTTTGCAGAGTGGGATTGGATATTATAGAATTTCTTCCCATGTCTGCCATGAGGCTAGGAAGACTTCCCAGACAGTTTCCTAACTTTTCTGGTTCTTCTTTTAAGTCTCAAGTTTTCTGCAACTGAAAAAACAGGGACGATGTCTCACAAGTGTTAATTTGAACATGAAGTACGCTTAGACTCATGAATAAAATCCAATTAAAAAAAAAGGCAAAGCATTAGTATAAAACAACATCTTAACTGCAGTCATTTAGGATTTACAACACATCTAAAACCACTTACATGGAAATAATAGGTTATTTTTAAACTTGTGAAAGTTTAAATTATAAATGCTGCTATAGCTAGTGGCAAAGTTAAGAACCCAATAAAAGCACAGATTTTCCAGATCTTTCTTAAAAGGCAGCTGGATGGTGCAGTACTGTGAATTACAGGAGAGGTTACAACACTCAGCCAGAACTCTGCTTTATTACATCCTGTCTTATCCAAACTTTGGCAGAGAGCAAGGTTTCCTAAGCTCACCTCTCTCACGCTAAAGTATTTTGAAAACAATTTTCTGAAATGTTTAATGTATCAGGTCTAAATCGAAGTTTTAGAACTTTAACACTGCTAAGACTAGAAGCCGCATAAACACTTTAAAAGGAAGCTACAACTCTGAAAATGCATTTACAATCCATATGAGGATGATGCTGTAGCAATGCTTAAAAATACTTCACGTGAAACAAAAGATATCCCTTTCTTCTGTCATTTTTTGACAAAGAAGTGGTTATCATAAGTCACTTGAAGAGAAACTGGGCTGACAGAGCTCCTGGGACTAAGTAAAAACCAGGCACTTAACAGGGCATCCACACCTAGCACACAGTGCGAAACTGCTCTTGCAAAGACAGGCAACACCTGAGTTGAAGCAGACAGTTGCAGTTTATGGAGGAGAAAGTTATTACCTTGCAACAGCTCACTCAGATAATGTTGCAGTGTAACACATCAGAACTGATCATCAAGTATTCCCAACTTGTTACCCCTAAAGTCAGGAAGACAGTTACACAGAAGAATTTGACATTAAAATGAAGAGGTTCTGAAGATTCCTAGTATCTGCAGGTCCTTTTAAAGTGGAACACATACTTCTTGTTTGAGGAAAAAGTTAGGAAGTGGTTTGATACACCAAAACCACACTAGTGACTAGTCAGAATTGGTCCTATGCCTTTCCTCCAGCTGCGCATACTCACCTCTTCTCTTGCACCAACACCAGTGCCTGTGACATCCTACTATGAACATGTTTGGAGCCCTAAACCAAGAGAAACTTGACCCTAAAACATACATGCACACTTAAAATATACAGTGGTGGTGTGAGGGTTATCTTAGCTTCCCAAATCAGTAAAACACAAGGGTTGGCACAAGCGAGGAGGAGGTAGTTGAACAGAAAGGAAAAGCAAGCAGCTCTTTGGGCTGCACTAGCCATTAGACCAACAGTGCAACTTGGGAAGGCCAAGCCAAAACTCAGCGAGTTTCAAACCCATGAGATCATCATCGACAGGAATAATGTTAATAATGCCCCTAGAAAACAGCTCTGCATTGTCAGGTATCCAAAATGCTAGATAGCAAAATTATGGTGTTTAAGATGGTTTACTTAATAAATATCAGCAAAGGACAATTGCTGATCATTTACGAAAAATAAACATCCCGTCTTCAAATTTAAATGGTGTTAGTACTTTCCCCTCACATGTTGAGAAAGGGAAAGAAGCCCGTGACAGTGCAATGAAAGACAGAGGAGCATGCATTGGAAGATTTTAAAAAATGGTGATGGTGAAGTTCAGTACAGGAATTAATTGAACTCCTACAGATATCTTTTCAAATACAATCAAACTTCAGTCTAACCCCTGTCCCAAAGACCAATCAAAACCAAAACAAAACCTGAAACCAGGAGGGTGTGAAACCACAAGGCATTAAAGACAAATGATTCTGTGAGATCAGGCGCTATGCTTCTGTTCACCATCCTGACACTGTTCTTGCTAATTGAAATATGTAGGCCCTGACTGAAGATAAATATTTTAAAGAGACTTATTAGATTGAAGCAGTTCAGGAATCCATTAATGGCAGGAACAAATTACATTTATAGAACAGAAAGTCTTCAAGACAACCTCTAAAACCCAAACCTTAAAAATACTAAAATCAGTCACCAAAAAAAAAAAAAAAAAAATCCATCAGACTTGACTCAACATACTGTAAAAGCTTCAAATTATGAAGTAGATAACAATTTGCTGACAACTTTAGACATTAATAGCCACATATGCTTCTCTACAGTTTTGTGTATTTTACACGTTCCATCCTTCAAAAAACTGGCAAATAGAGTTCCAGTAAAGTTTTGTTGATTCTTCAATGCTATTAAAAAAAAAAGCTGTCACTATAAAATAAGCTTAAGACACTTTCTTTTCCTTGAGTGATATCTCATCCTTTGAATGCATTTGTTAAAAATAAATATTAGAAAACATCTATTTTAGTGCTCTGTTAAACAACTTGCCATTGTTCTTTTCGTATCGAAGTTGTCAAGTTACTCCCCGACCAAAAAAAAAAGATTTAAAATCTAAACAAATGCATTGCAATCTAATAGTATCAAACATTGCCTTGGCATTATCAGTGATACACTTGACGCTGAAAGTATGGACATTTGTAGCTCACACACATTTCTTTTCAGTATGAGGTAAATCAGTCACACACAGAGCTCAGTGCTTGAAAAATACCATTCTGCTCTGATCAGCATCCTCATAATGACAAACATGACTTTGCATTGAACAATGTTTTCAAGTATTTTCGTATTTCTATATTGTTCCAGAAGGTAATACTTTGCTCAACTTCCTATAATCCTACTGTATTCCCTCTTCAGGGTTTTAAGAGGCACCGTTCCGAAAATCCTCCTATAAATCATATAAATCCCGCTATAAATTATACCAGACCCTAAACCAAGAACATTCAGGAAGTTTAAGGCCAGATGGATTCCATTAGCCTCACCTCCTGTACTCATATCCTATTAAAATTTTACAGAGATACTCCTGAATTGAAGGGTGTCTTGGTTCTGGCTAAATCCTACCTTTCAGAGAGGTGTCCAGCTTTGATTAAAGCATCAAGAGAGAAGAATTCATCATTTACCTTAGCAAGGAAGTGCCATACGCTCCTGTAAACGTTCTCTTTTGCAGACTAAAGTTCTCCTATGAGTAAATCAAACAGAGCTAAGCTCCCACTATGCACGTATACCCCTCAGGCCAACTTACGCTCAGTTTCATGTACCTGTGGACAAATTAGCATCCTAAAAGCATACTTTTCAACTGAGGCACAAATTCTTCCATAAGAAACGCTAAACATTTAGAAAGACAGGGTGACAGCTAAATCAATCTTTTCAGTAGTGCAGTAGGAAGAATATAAAACTAAATACATCGTTAGTACAGCAAGATGATCTAAGCAGCATGAGAATTTCTGCGTGCTGCATACACTATCACACCTGTAAAAAGCAAAACAGTTGTACTTGTTTCTCCATGTATCACTCAACATTTATATGCTAGCCATGCTGAAGCCTGTTTCAAAACCATTGTGCAAGAATTACTAAGCACTCGTAAGACACTAGTGGGCTAAGGACTTTCTGTTTTAAATACAAACCCAGGAACTGAGGCAGAATGATAAAATGAGCTACCAAAGGTTGCCAAAGTCAATGTCAGAACCAAGATTAGAAGCCTTGAATTCCTGGATACTAGCTCTGTGCTCAAATCCTTTCCTCACCACTTAAAACATGTATTAACAAATGTAGGAACTTCAGGCATATGCTTTACTTATACAAGCACAGGTCACAAGGAGACTTCTGTAGGAAGACAGGTACTTCCAAAAAAGCTTGGCCTTACCCACGAAAAGATTATTAGAAGTATTTCCACAAATGTCAACCCTTTAATCCTCTCCTCCCCAGCCCCAAACCACTCCCAATTCCTGCCCTCCCTGCCCCCTCCAGCACTTACCAAAAAGCAAAGTTGTGGCCAGTTGTGGATAAAATACCTATATGTGTAAATGGAGTAGGGTTCAGACAGATCTTTGGTGATCAGTCTCATGATATCGGGCATCTGCAGCTCTGACTCGTATCGGACATATCGTATCGTTAGGTCCTCCTCGGGCTGACAGTCCGTTCCCGAGCCTTTCAAACTGCAAGCTGCTGCTAAGGACGTGGAGAGTAGCAGCAGGGACTTCTTCTCCTCCCCTCCTTCATCCCCCTCCTCCTGCTCTTCCTCCTCCAAGCCAGTCCCTCCTGCCAGTCCATTGCGGGCTGCAGTCTTAGCAGCAGCTGTAGTAGTGGCAGCAGGCTGGCTCCTGTCCCCTGTTGCTGCTGCTGCTGGGGGAGAAGGAGGAGGAGAGGGTGCAGTCCTTCCCTGGGGAGGGAGGTGGTTGGTAAGGGAGGATGAGCACGGTGCTGTGGTCGGGGGCGATGACTGCTGCTGTCCAGAGCCCATTGTTTTGCATTGCGGGCTGCAGTCTTAGCAGCAGCTGTAGTAGTGGCAGCAGGCTGGCTCCTGTCCCCTGTTGCTGCTGCTGCTGGGGGAGAAGGAGGAGGAGAGGGTGCAGTCCTTCCCTGGGGAGGGAGGTGGTTGGTAAGGGAGGATGAGCACGGTGCTGTGGTCGGGGGCGATGACTGCTGCTGTCCAGAGCCCATTGTTTTGCTGGCTCTTTTGTTCTCCAGCCCCTCGGGGGCTGCCCCTGCCTCCGAGCTGAGGATCTTGCTCTTGAGGGAGGCCCGCAGGTGCCGCAGCTCGGGGCTGATGAGGCCGTTGAGCTGGTGGTTGTGGTGCGGGGGATGGTGGTGGTGGTGGTGGAGGC